GAAAGGATTTTAATAGTAGAAACAGAAGAAAAATTAGAGTGGTTACTTCGTGTTGGTCTGGGAGTTGGTGAACTTACGCTGCACCGTCATATAAACGTGTACATTTATTGATTTTTTCTTTAAATCGTGTAAACACTTATTATTATTTATTTGACTTCCAGCCGAAGTTCACTCTCGTGATAAGTGTCTACGTGAGATCTAAAAAGGCGTGGCGTGAGCCATGCATGACTTATTAAAGAAATCCTTTGTTTTCGTTTTTCCTCAAGGGGAAAGGGGGTGAAAAAATGCTCTCATTTAAACTAATTTAGTTTTAAACAATACCACGAAATCGACAGAAAATGAACGCAATTTGCCACGTTCAACTTTCCTTATTCCGAGAAGGGAGTTTTCCCAATTCGTATCTCAATTCTGACGGATTTTATCTGCCTGCCAGCTCACGTGAGAAAAAAGTCCTATATTTATTTTGTAAAATAAATGATAAAATCTTATATTCTCGCTACATTCTCATGCGGTCCGGCACCTAAAATTGCAAAACAAACTCAGTTTTACTATTACTGATGATGGCGCAATGCCAATCCAAGGACCCCATATTAGAGAATATCCCAGATTGTCACTAACAAAAGGGTTAACTGCTGTTGTCAGTTTTTAGCCTTTAAACAATTTAAATTAAATTGTTTTTGTGGTTTCTCTTAGTCATCGAGTATGACACAGTAGCTAACCAGCTGATGTGCATCATTCCTTATTGCTTTTTCTTTATATAGTATTAATTTCAGTTAGTTCGTATTTGCCAGTTAAGCCTGGAATCTTGTAAGTTTTCTAAAATGTTTGCGTATACCGTGACTAGTTTTATCCTGACTCAATCGAATATAAAAAGAGCTTATCTGATAAAAATATCAGTCACCTTGAAAAAATAATGCAATCTTTTTCGTAATTTGGATACAAAGTACATTTTCCAGTATTTACGTGACCCATATTACGACTATATACCAAGTAAAATTTTGGCGTAGTGATGGTACAACGTATCAAAATAGGTCAAAATATTTTTATGGCTATAACCAAAAATAGTGATCGTTTTCTCCATCCAACAACTTCTTAATTCAAATTTCTCATAAAATCAAAAAACGTTTTACTTCTACATTGGTTTGCATCCCGATTATTTTTTGTTATTCAAAAAATAAATATATCACTGAAACGAATCCACTAATCTATGAAACGTTACAGAGGTTTAGAACCCTATCAACTTCTCATTGTCATAAGTTTGTAATAAACTAAAAACTTTGGGGAGTTTAATTTCATTCTTACTTTTCTTTATTTTAATAACTTAAAAACCAAAGATTGTTAACATTTTCGCAAAAAAGAGAAATGAATCTTTTCAAGATTTGTAATTTGGGAGGTTGATTCTGATGTTTTAATTTTAATTACAACAACGGAAAACGCCGAGAAAAAAATTAACCGCGGCGAATCCATACATTGGTCCCATGCAAAATTTAAATATGAATTTTTCATGGCTCTTAAAACGAATCCGACTGACAAGAACACTTGGGCAGGTGTATATTTTTATACCTATTATTATCAAGAAAAAAGGTCCGATTAAAATCGGTAATCCAATTCATAGCCTCACCTTGTCACCAATAAACATAGTACAATTATTGCAAATATTTTGGATATGTTGAGATGAAGAAACGCGCAAGAAGTTTTCACCAAATACGGATTTTCGATTTATTAACACAATTGAATTTAGCCAAATACTTCCTACATCGATTCTCGAATGGGAAAAATTTGGAGAAACATTTATTTATTTGGTGTTTTATAAATTCATTAAACTTTCAAGTGTTTACTACATCTCAAAGCACGTGCTTCACATTTGTTAACTTTTGAAGGTTGATCATTGTCCATTTGACTGGAATACCCTATAAGAAAACCCTATAAACTTTATATACACATTTCCCATAAAAAAAAGGTTTTTGCACGAAAAATGGCCAATTATTTTAGACATAGACTTGCTTTAGTTGTCATTTTTTAGAAAATGAGACCTAGCACGTCTGTGGCTTAAAAGGCTGTTTAAACGTTTTCCTAGCTTCAGTCATTTATCAGCAAAGTAAAAAAATTCGGTACACTTTTTACGGAAACTTTAAATTGAGCTGTGGAGCGAGGATATTCTACTGAAAATTCTTTCAGCAATCCATAGGAAATTTAATAAGTTTTCAATTGGTCAACTTCCACATTGCCCGATTTTTTAACAGTTTTCGGGTTATTCCAGATTATTTGGTAAAAAAATCGTGGTTTTTACGTCCTCATGGAAAAATCTGATCACTATCTCTCTCCCGATTTTCAAGAATGGATAAATTTTGAACCGTCTTGTTTTCACAAATTTTACTCTCAACAACTTTTGTTCTGGGGACTTTTTCAAAAAGTGAACAGGAAAGCAACAATTTTTACTTTGACCTTTTGGGATGCGGAATGCTACTGCTGTCGTTTTTTTGCCCGAAATCGCGAATAGATCGAAAATGGTAGAGAATTCGGGCATTGTGGATGTTGATCAACTGAAAGCTTATTAAAATTTCCTATCGAAATTTGAATTTACATACATTTTTATTTGCTAGTAGTTTAATATGCTTTCAGTTGGTCACCTCCCACTTCGCCCGATTTCTCAACCGTTTTGGGTTCGCGATTTTTTTGGCAAAAAAACGTGCTTTTTACGTGCCCAAAAAAACCGATCACTCTCTCTCCCGATTTCCTGGATGCAAAATTCAATTGGAAGTTTTCGTAAAAAGCGCAAAAATTAACATGTTCCCGAATTGTTGAATTTAATAATGAATGACTGAAGCTAGGAAAGCATTTAAAAAGCCATCTTGTTCAGTGTTAAATGTTCTAAAAAATGAGACTTAGCGCACGTCTGTGACTTAAAAGGCTGAGAAAATATGCTAAATTTGGCTATTTTTTCGTGCATAAACCAGGTGGTCGATTTTTTATGAGCAGTAAAGTTACAAACTTGGCCTCCGTAAATAAATTAGAATTAAAAGTATAATATTTTTTTAAACTTCTTTTGTTTTACAGAAACATAAAGTCCTTGTGAAATTTTAAGGAGAGCACCAGATATCGAAAAAAAATTCCTCCAGCTGTTCCAGCCGAAAAAGTCGTATTTAAAGGCTATAAAGAGTGCTTAAAACTAAACCGATTAATTTTTTTTAAATAAATTTAAAAAAAATTTTCCTATATTACCGTAAGTGTCTCTGGTTTTTGTAACATTTTATATATCCAGCATACTTTTTTCTTACCCTACGAAAAACCCGATAGTTAATAACCTGGAAATACTTGCATAACGAAGGCCGAAAATCATTTTTATATATATAAAGGTGTCAACCGACATAAGGATTATTTACGCCTTAAAAGTCTGGCATGATGTCAATTATGGCTAGATTTCTAATTTAAATGTTTGAAAATAGATTAGTTTTCTTTAGAAATGTTATCAGCCTGTCAATATCTATGGTCAATCTCCTAGAATTTCTGAAAGGCAGTATGGCATATTATAATTTTTCCTGTCGTCCTCATATGCTCTGCAGGCTTTGAGAATGTTTCATACTAATGGGCACGATACACACTACAAAGGTAGGGAGATCTTCCTTGGCCATGAGATTGCCATGTGTGAGTCTCGTGTGTCCTATTCTTAAACGAGTTAGAACGGATTCTTCGTGTCTTGAGGATCGAAAAGAAGACACCTAAAATGTGCCTTGGGGTTTAACTTCCCTCATTTTATCATTTCTATTTCCATACCGCGTTACCGTACCTCCATAACTCGTTGCCATGCTAGCCATATCATTTCTTTCAAGTGGGACATGAAACCTTCATGGTGGTTAAAGCCAGACCGTTTGCCATGTTCTAGACCGTTTTACGGCTTTATCCGCTGCTTCATTCCCAACTATCCCGCTGTGCCCAGGTACCCAAAGTAAGAAAGCTGTTATATTCTGGCACTGCAGAACGTCCAGTGCATTTAACATGTTCTGCACAAGAGGATGGGGAAAAACATGTTTTTCAAATTTAACAGAGCGGACTGTGAGTCAGTGTAGATTATAAGTTTTAAAAATCTAGAAGTAGCCACTTCCCTAATTTTCTCATCTCTCGCATAAAGCTCAGCGGTATAATTGCTGCAAGCATGGGGTAAAGAGAACATTTACTGGCGGTCTCTACAGACAAACGCTGCGTCGGTCCCAGCTTGATCCTTTGATCTGTCTGTATATACAATATATTATATAGTATATATACATATATATAGTATACATATAATATATTTTTTCTTTAAGGCATTTCATCTTCGAAGTTAAATGAAGCCCCTGGGTGTCGGTTTTTTTAAAAAAAAGCTCATTTGTAAGTATGGCTTTATCTATACAAATTATGAATTCTGTTGGTTTCAAATTTGCCAATTCCTGAAAGGAATCATGGTTATATTTTTTCATCAATAGAATGAAACGGTTCGATGGTGGCTAATGTTAGTTTTTGGACTTAGTTGAAGTTAAAGGCGCAGGGGGCTTGGTTTTTTTTCTTCTTTCTTTCCCTGCCCCGCTTTGTAAAAGAACATGAGAAAATCTGTTTGGGCAATAAAGGAAATCAAGTATTTAATTCATACGAGCCGAGAGGCGAAAAGCCATCCGTCAAACGATGACACAGGAATTCTGTCGGCCATTCTTCGACGAAAATTTGTACTTTCACAGGATCAGTTTTTGTGTGTCGTCACCTAGGCGAAAAATCGGACGGGAAAGGTCGTACAAACGTATCGCCGGAGGCAGTCCTCCAGGTGTCCTTTGTGAGCGGAAGGGATGGGCGGAATGGAAGAAGGAGGTGGTGATGGCTGGGACACTCATGAGGAGAGGGGACGCCCAGGACAATAGTGTCCTCCGAGGGGTGATCCATCATAGTGGACATCTAAATAGAAGATAGTGACTGGAGGAAACGATTGGTCCTTCCCCTTCTACCGGCTGGATTTGGTGGGGGTCTTGGCTCCTCCCAGGTTTCAACCAGTAGCGCCCGTGATGTGAAAACATGATGACCATGAACGTTGGTATGTACCAATACGAGCCCTATCCGTACGATGAACAGCAGTGTCAATACGAGGAACAGGAATACCCGGGACGGCACATCTACTACCCGGACAGCTATCAGGATTACCAGGACCAAAAGCCGGATTATTACCAGACGCAGGACGTTAACATCATCAACGGCCTATCCTACACAAACCTAGACTACAACTATCAAAAGCCAGACGTTTACTCGGACCACAGGGTATTGCCGTCGCAAAGCGAATATTTGGACTATCACGGGCAGCAAGGGCACGAAATCGAATACCAGCAACACGAGATCCACTACGGACACCAGGTCAAAGAAGAGGAACAAGTCGTCCATCAACATCACTACGAACATCACCAGCAACAGGCCAGGTTGCATCCTCAGCAACCAACTGTGCCCACCTACAAATGGATGCAAGTCAAGAGGAATGTTCCAAAACCGGCAGGTAAGTACATACAATCACACTTAATTATAATTAATTTGTTTTTAATCATAAAACAGTTTATGAATGGGAATTATATTTTTAATATCTATGATGTAAAGAAAACTCAGCGTGTTAACTTATAACCTCACGATTTCTGCATTATTTGATAATGCTTTTAAACGACTTGATAAATTATCTATTAGAGTAATATTCGGCTTACCTGATATATAGAATATCATTTATTTTACACATCATAACACTTCTAATTAAGTTACTTTATAAAGAGGATCGTCAGAAGGATTTTAATGGAATGGCAAAACGGCCAGTTTAATTATAGTTTTTTTTTTTTTCGGTCAATCTAACAGTTCTAAAATGTTGCCGGAATGTAGCCGAGGATTTTTTAAACAATTGGTCAACTTCCTCATTGCCCGTTTACGAGTTATTCCCGATTTTTGGGCAAAAAAGTGGTGTTTAGTGCTCATGGAAAAAAACCTATCAACTCTCCCGATTTTCAAGAATGCATAAATTTTGAACCGTCATATTTTCGCAAATTTTACGCTCTTCGACTTTTGTTCCGAGGACTTTCAAAAAGTGAACAGGAAAGCGACAATTCTTAGTTTTTCTTACTTCGACTTTTTGGGATGCGGAATGCTTCAGCTGTCGATAACCGCTTGTTTACCTCATCCTGCATATTCAATTTTTCCTTCCCATTTCACAGGTGTGTATTGAAACGATAGGTTTATGTATGGTAAAATCGGGAGAGATAGTGATCGGTTTTTTTTCCATGAGCACGTAAAAAACCACATTTTTTGCCAAAAAATCGCGAATAAATCAAAAATGGTAGAGAAGTCGGGCAACGTGGATGCTGACCAATTGAAAACTTGTTAAAATTTCTTATCAAAATTAGTTTTCGTAAAAGGTGCCAAAATTAAAATCTTCCCAAATTTTTGAATTTACTGACGACTAGGAAAAAACATAAAAAATCCAACTTGTTCAGCGTAAAATTTTCTAAAAAATGAGACCTAGCGCAGGTCTGTGAATTAAAAGGTTGAGAAAGTATGCATTCGATCAATCTAAAAATAACAGTACTAAAAATTTGCCAGAATGCGGCCGAGAATTATTTAAACAATTGATCAAAAAATAAAACTTTATTGTCAAAAATACTTGTTCAAAACGTAGTATTTTTAATGTCTGTAAGTGTAACGAAAACGTTTTTAGATTTTTGCTTTCCAAAAATTGATTCGTGATTTTATAGACAAATTTTTTTAACAAAAGTAGTCACATATAACAGACCTAAAATGTTGCCAGAATGTGGCCGAGAATTATTTAAACAATTGATCAAAAAATAAAACTTTATTGTCAAAAATACTTGTTCCAAACGTAGTATTTTTAATGTTGGTAAGTGTAACGAAAACGTTTTTAGATTTTTGCTTTCCAAAAATTGATCCGTGATTTTATAGACAAATTTTTTAAACAAAAGTAGTCGCATATTACATATTACTCACACAATGAAAGTATATTGCCGTGTTTAACAGTTTTAAAGAAATAATTGTTACTTGTTGTTTGAGCAAGAAGGATTTTATCATATCGGGTTAGTTCCGACATCTTAATATCTTAATTGACGGAAAGATGAATTGTATGCAACGTGGCAAGATTACAGATAATAGAAGACAATTTTCTTACCAACCATAAAAATTTTATCGAAATTGATTGAGGTAATTTTTCACTCTGGGAATAAAAACTTGCGGTAAAGATTTATATCGTAATAAACTATCACTTGAAAACCTCCTGAAATATTTTCGTGACATTGCAATGATGTTAATAAGATGAGAGATATTCAGGTAGGGTTGTTCATAAAAAATTAATGCGGCCCGCTTAGACTCGCGTGTTTAGGCGTAGAACCGCCGGTAAAAGTCGTGAAATGGTTTGATTACCACGTTTGTAGGCTGGGTAGGATAAAGTTACGAGTGGGCTATTATTTTTATCTTCTTTATATTTCTTTTGACTACCTAATTTTAACTCTGTAGGACAATTTTCTTCAAATCTTTATTATGCTAGGTCTCAATAAAAATTATGAGAGGAATCAAATATTTGGTGACACGATCTGCATGTCTGCAAATAGATTTTTGTCACTTACACACAGGTTAACATTTGGTTAACTTTTCTTCACCAACCATCAAAGTAAGAATAGTCATAAAAAAATTACCGGCCCCTATAAATTCACTTTAATGCCTTCTTAGTTTGTACAATATTTTCAAATTTAAATTCTATTTTTGTTTCGTTTTTTTTTGTATGCTTATAAGATACACATGAATTAAAAATCTTAGAAACAACAGGTGAAGTGGCTATAAGCAACTGAGCAAACTTGGGAGCCAAAGGATGACAGAAATTACAAAAAATACCATAATTAAGTACATATTGTATTTGTAAAATGTGGAGAAAAAATTTAAACAAAAAACCTACTATATAACAATGTCTAGAAAAGTTTACATTTCATAAATAAATATTTGAGTAGATACAAATTAACTTTTACAGTTTCTCACTGAAGTTAGTCAAAAGCCGAAACGGGTTTGAGTAACTTCTGCCCCACGAAAAATAGTATTTAGGGTCTTTATAGTAGACCAATCTTTTTCAACCTGTTAATGGGAGTTAACATTAAAATTTAATTGTTTATCATAGTGTACATTCAAGTAAATAATAGTACTACTGTTTTTGCGGTATTGAAACTGAATTTCCAACCGAAACAAAATTTTGTAATCTTGTGGAAATTCGGTTCAAATCGATAGTCTCATCCTCCGTGATGAACAAAACAATGCGATGTCATCAGCATACATCCCAATTTGACAGTCAAGTCTAAGGGGAACTTTTATGAAATTATTCAGAAATCGTGAGATGCGGTCTGGTGTGATGTAGTTTTCAGAAAAACATTTTCTTTATCGTGCCAACGGCTCTTTTCACCTCAAAGAAACCGACGCCTTATACAAAAATGTCTTTTCTATACCGAATTCCTTCCCCACCCCTAAAAATACAACGTATATAAACATAAAACAGCAAAATCTCACTAGCACTCTCAACACGACACGCAAGAATGGCACAATTACAAAAGACAAACACTTTTAGTGGGTAGAAATACTTTGATTGAATATAAAAAAAATATATTTTGCATTGTATAAATTCACTTTTCCACATCCTAAATGTATTTGTTAAATGTAAACAATGTTTGTATATCCCAGGCCCTGAAGATGATCTCAATAAAGATCGAAACGTTGGCACGATAAAGAAAATGTTTTTCTGAAACCTACAACACACCAGACCGCATCTCACGATTTCTGAATAATTATCGATTAACGGTCACTAACCACCACATATTTTTATGAAATTGTTTAGCAAGTTGGGCAGAATGGAATCTTACAAAATGTGAATTGATAAAAATCTGGTTGTTTTCTTTCATTAAGATTTAGATGAGAAGAAGAGATGGGGAAAGGGAGATAGATAGAAAGATAGTTAAATAGAGAGGAAGGGAGAGTAGAGAGAGAGAGAGAGAGAGAGAGAGAGAGAGAGAGAGAGAGAGAGATTTCAATTAAACCTATGCATGTAGAACATCACAACATAAATTTTTTTTACAAACCATTGTTTTATTTAACAAATAAATAATTAATAGATTAAGTAAAAAGTGAGAACTCTGGGAAAGTCAAACAAGTTATCAAACCCAATAAGAATTAAATTAATACACTTATAAACTTATAATGTATTTAAAATCGTCCGGTGTACAGAGACTAGTATGGGGGATGGTCCATCGGGGTGCTGAAGCTGAGCCAAAGAGTCCTATTACATAGACAATAAAGTAAAGATTTGTATCCCACAAGAACTCCAAACATAATTTTCATTTTTCCACCAATCATGCAATTCAAAATAATACACAATTAGCAGGTTCTTATAAAATGTAGGTTTTTCGAAACCTTGCGGCTTCTTCACCGGAGGGCTGGTGGTTCCAGAAATGACTTATGAAGAAGAAAATGGTGGTTTTCGTTTACTACAGGTTTATTTTTTGCTTAACAAATCAAAAAAATAGAAAACTGATTAAATGAGGAGAGAGAACAGCGAGAAAACCAAACTGTAAAGAGAGACAATAATAATTTGCTTTCATCGAGCTATGACAGTAGTAATAATAATAATAAAGTTTATTAAACATTACATAACATTTAATGAAAAAAATATAAATAAACGATACGGAATGGTAATTCCGTCTGCTGGAAGATGGCCTTAGCATATGCATTCATCAATATGTAATATCTATGCATACATTACCCATACAAGCATAGGCACGAGAGAACGAAAAAAAATTAAGAAAAAGCTTTTTAAAAACAAATAAATGAATTATAATATAAAGCAGTGGTACAATGAAAACGTGTAAAACTATAACTCTTAAACATTAAATTCATGAATCAGATCTTTTATGTAAAGTCAAGCTGATCTAGTGTACTCCACAAGTGTACCCCAGTTGGATCCATCTGGCAAATTTATAAAATCCTGTCTTGAAAACTCACTGCGTCAGATGAATAACCTTCTGTATTTAGAAAGGATAGGGCAAATCGCAAAAAAGTGAAAAGTGTTTTTCTTAGCTTTCTGATTTCAGAAACAATCTTCCCGTCTCTTCCAGGGTTTACAGCTCAGGTGTAGTTCTCCCCTTTGTTTTACAAGCAATCCAATCGTACTTGTTTTCACATTTTCCTTATTTTTACCCACAAAGCTTGTCCACTTCACACTTGGGTTAATCTGCTATGACAATAGTTACAGTCTATTTACAATCCGTTGTACGGAAGTTAGAATCGAGAAATGACCCAATGGGCTGTTAAGAATGGCGGGATATGCCCGAAACAAACAAAATAATGAATAGACCTTATACCATAGACTGCTTGGTTTTCTATTTTCCATCAACTGTCAAATAAGAATAACAGGTCCATATAAATTTACGATCTCCAAGAAACCACTATGGAAATATTGGGCAATGACTCATGAGA